GCACTCACTGTTTGAGAATGAGCCTTTGAGGACTGCTTGCCATGGCACATCTTCTCTCTCATGGGGTTCAACGTGAACAGGCTTAATACCAGCTGCCTGGTCACTGCAAGCGACTTTCTCTTTGGCCAGTCGATAGTGTGCTTGTTCCTGGTTGAATTTATCCAAAAGGATTCTATTGCTCTCTTCAAATCTGCTAATAGCATTGCAGGGAAGAGGAACTTCCCAGTCTTGGGATGTTAATCTTCACTGAGAAATCCTCACCCTTGGAGCTAGTTGCGTTTCTTGAACTTTAAAGTTGCAAAGGAACAAGAAAAAAAATTAAAATATATAAAAAATCATGTCTTTCCTGACTGGGTATCATTCATATGCTGTGTTTCAGGCCTACCCAGGAGATAATGCTACTCGGACACCGGTGGGAACAGATCTCTATCTCTATGACCACGTTGTTAGAAAAGGAACCTAAGGTCCATCTGTGTGGCTCTCCTCCCAGTGATTTCTTCATCTGTCTTAAAGTTATCTGAAAGAAACAATTGGGTAATCTGCACCTTGTGTTTAGGGTGTAAGAAGGGGTGTGTTTTTTACTGCTTTACAGTTGGTTTCTGCGTCACATCTTGAGGGAAGTAGAAGGAAGACGTCACACCGACTGTAGGATCTGTGTATCTGGGTGTCTTGTTTGTGCTCCGGGGAAGCCCCTGAAGTGTGTGAATTGCAAAAGTACCTAAAGGGAAAGGATCCGACTTCCTGCACTGCTCGTGAGGCAGCAGGGTGGCTGGGGCAGAGGTGCGTTATTCTTTCCTGCAGTTAAGAAACCAAACTACTATCCCATAGTTCCTCAGTCCGAGAATACTTTAAATTCTTTCTGCAGGACTCTCTTTTTTCAAGTAGGCCTCGACCTCTACTGGGGGGTCAACACCACATAATCAGACCAAGCCATCACAGGGTAACAGGGAGAAGTGTCACCAAATAGACAGGTAAATTTTATTTGAAGCATTTTGATGGTGTTAGTGGTACCGTGAGGGTGACTTTTCTTCTGTTCCTGTTCGGCTGCTGTTCTAGTACCAACTTGGCAGAAGGTCGATAGGAAGGTAAGGGCGTGGAGCTGAACGTAGAGGAAACAAAGGCTGAAACTGGGTGGACAAAATTCCCTGGATCGTAAGGGACAGGACAGTCCTTTTGGAAGAAGCTAAAAACCTGGGCCTTAGTCGATGCAATAAAAATCCCATTACTGCAAGGGGAAGGCAGTGTTCCAAAAATTACAGACTAGAAGTTGTTACTTCAAAGCTGCAGTAGTTTAGGGGAGACTTAGAAGCGTGATTTTCTTTCCCATAAAACTTTGAACTGTGTGGAGCTCTGCTGTTTCCGTAATACCATAAAATCTTTTACTGTCACATCTTGCTTTTACGTAGAGCACTTTGTACTCTACTTTTCGCAGCAGGTTCATGTACTCGTCCCTGGATGCAGCCGAGCTATGGAGGAGGCAAGGCAGCGTGAGGTGTTGGGCTGGGCCAGGCTGAATGCTGGCATCTGCCACAGCCCTCGGCTTCAGTGCGGGTGGCAACGGCCCGCCGGGGGCCTGCTCAGAGAAGACACAGGCCAAAAGAAATGGTACTTCTCCCCAGGGATACTAACGAGGACAACTGTGGTAAGGCTTGGATTTCACAGGGGTGTGTGCATTGGCAAGATATGTCTCTAGAGGGAAGGCCTCGCTCTGCTAGGGCTGGCTTGTCCTCACCTTGGTGTTTGTGGGCCTTTCCCTCATTTACCAGGACCAAACCACAGAGATGGTCATCGTTCCTTTGGCCTCAGCTGAGAACTGGGCCGCTGTCACTGACTCCGCTTTGCATGACTGCCCTTGCGTCTGCGGCAGCTCAAGGGAAGGGCTGGATACTGACTTAGGAATATTTTTGCAGCATTACAGCCAAACTGTCTTTATGAAAAAGCATAGCTTTTAGACTGTTTTTTTTTTTTTTTTTCAGAAAAAAGGTGACAGTGCCAGAGCCATTTTTGAAAATGTAGAGGGAGAGAGGTCCTCCTGCCCCTCTACTCTGCCCTGGTGAGGCCACATCTTGAATCTTGTGTCCAGTTCTGGGCCCCTCAGCTCAAGAGGGACAGGGAACTGCTGGAGATAGTCCAGCGCAGCCACAGAGATGATGGAGGGATGGAACATCTCCCTGGTGAGGAAAGGCTGAAGGAGCTGGGGCTCTTTAGCTTGGAGAAGAGGAGGCTGAGGGGTGACCTCATTCATGTTTATAAATACATCAAGGGGGAGTGTCAGGAGGACGGAGCCAGGCTCTTCTCAGTGGTGTCCCATGACAGAACAAGGGGCAATGGTTACAAGCTGGAACATAGGAGGTTCCACAAAAACATCAGGAAAAACTTTTTCCCTGTGAGGGTAACAGAGCACTGGCCCAGGCTGCCCAGGGAGGGTGTGGAGTCTCCTTCTCTGGAGACTTTCAAAGGCGTTCCTGTGCGATCTACTGTAGGTGATCCCGCTCTGGCAGGGAGGCTGGACTAGGTGATCTTTTGAGGTCCCTTCCAACCCCTGACATTCTGTGAGAGAAATCATTATGGTGAAGGTTGGTAAAAGGGACAGTTGATAGAAAGGGGATGAGTGTATTTGTCATTCCTTTCAACAAATGTTTTTTTTTCTTTCTCAGTCTAATCAGATTTAAAATAATGTTAAAAAGAAGTGGCGTTTGGAGAACATAATCTTTGAATGATAGTAACTAAGTAAGTAACATTAAGTAGAACTTAATAGAAGGACATTTTTAACTTTAGAAGTAAATCTCCACTAATTCAGTTTCCTTTGTTTTCATCTGTTAATCAACGCTCTTGAATCCACATAACAGCAGGCAGTCTAGGAGAATCCCATGCCTACATCTGCAGGAAAATGGAAGGAAATCTGGATCCAAGTGGGCTTTGCGTGTTTTCAGGTCAGTGAGCGTGCCAGTACATGGTGTGTCTTTACAGACAGCTAAGTGAAAGGCTGCAAAGGCATAGGAAGCCTTATCCTTGTCAGTCAGTGCCATTTCTACCTGGGGCGATAAACCTTGTTTATAACAAAGAGTAAACTGTAGTATCTGCAGCTGAAGATTGGTACTCGCTGAGTAATTTGCAGAATTACTGGCTGCTTAGGATGCTTATTAGATTCTTTCCCACCCGTCGTTGCCTGTGAGCTAATCTCCTGGTGTCCTCTCTCTTCTCGCGTTCAAAATTCAATTTCCTAAAAAGAAACAGGGAAAAAAAAGTCTCAATACATACTCTAAGTGTGAAACCTCTCAAAACACATGTTTTAGTCCCTTGCCATTCCTAACTGGAAGAAGCTTGAGCCTCTGTCACAAGTGAGAATCTGTCCCCAGACACTTCTGTCATCTGGCTTGCATTTTTAAGAAAGGGTTCATCTTCTTGGACAAACAGGATAATGGCTAAAAGCAACTAAGTGGTGTTACAGTCCATTTTCCTAAGATGTCAGCAGTCGTTTTTCCAGCATCTTGTCTCTCTTCAGCCCTGGGTAGACACACAGCATAGCAGGCATACAAAACATACCTTGATTAAAGATAGTAGCTTTCCTCCAAGCACTGATAACATACAGGAAACTTTCATGTAGCTTTCTTATGCTCTGTGACTTTTTAGCCGAAACAAATGTAAACTGCCAAGCCTTAAATTACTGCTTGCTTTAAACATAAGGTAAATGGAAATTTATCTTTTCTATTCTGAGAGGAGACTGTGATATTATCAATCATCATAAAATTTATTGCAGATACAGATTTTTCACTCTGCTGCAAGATCACTGATTTTAGGCATTGATTGGACAGTGTATCCTTGCACAGGATCCCCAGAACTCCAGATTTTATACCAGTTCGGGGATTTGTATGTTTTTTTCAAGTATGTCTAAACTGCTTACATGAGCCTATAGATTTTAATAGCTGGTGTATGTTTTGTGATTTTTTATGTTTCTTTACCTCCTCGCCAAAATCATCCTTTTGTTCTTTTTATGTGAATGCTGGATCTTCGGTGTTGCAACCATGTTCGGAACTGTTGTTTTTATTTTGGATAATAGAGCGAAGCTGCAAAGTGTAGCGTGAGATAGGCGGTGAGCAGCTTCATGCTGAGCCATAAGCAGAACCAGAGGAAGAGTTATTATTTAGGACGAAATACAATGCTTGGGAAAGAAGTCATTTATACCGAAGTCTAAAGTTCTTCCTTCTTTGAGAGTCACAACAGGATGCTTTGAAGTATTTAGAAACATTTTATATTACATGAAATGAGCGTGATGTTACAGAGAGGCATACGCAGCTTTTCTTTCTCTGACCAGAAGTAGTTTTGTGGAAGGCCAGCTGCCCAAGGAACTGAAGCAGTGGCCATAATTAAGCCCCACTTTTAAAATTTGTTAGATCTGCAGCAAGGCATCCACTCAGAAAACACAGCAGCATCTGGTGAACTTTAATTCCTAATTTCAACAGCAGCCTTGCCAATCTCTCTGCTTCCTCAAAGCTGGAAGAAGTAAGGTAGAGGTAGTGGTTCCATCTTCACAGGTGATCCCTAACTCGTGTAAAGAACAAAAAGATCTCCATGCAGCATACAACCAGGTCTCCTTTTGGCCATCAGCAAAGGAGGCTGAAGGGGAAAATCCTGCCTTAACTCCAGCTCCCCACATAGAAAAAAGAAATCAGATTAAAAATGAGTAAAACTTTTTGGCAGGCAAGGACAAGCAGTGGAGGCCATCAGCAAAGGAGGCTGAAGGGGAAAATCCTGCCTTGACTCCAGTTCCCCCATAGAAAAAAGAAATCAGATTAAAAATGAGTAAAACTTTTGGGCAGGCAAGGACAAGCAGTGGAGGCCAAGCCGCTGTTCCCACTGCACAGAAAACAAAACCACAGGTGCTGGATGTTCTGAAGCCATGTAGATTAGCCCTCTGTGCAGTACACGCTCTTCACAAGAAGAGAAAACATCTCTCTTGGTTCTTGACTATTGTTCGCTTGAGGCGTGTTTTATTTCAGTGCAACTCGGGGCGGAGCTATTGGAGATCCCACAGCAGATGTTCTCCATGATGGAAGATACACCTTATCTCCAGGCTGCAGAGAAGGATTTAGACTGGGAAAGCAGCTCCAATCGTGGAGGCTGGCGTTTGCCCCCTGAGCGAACACCCAGCCTGGTGAGAGGTAAAAAGCAAGTGTGATGGATCACAGAAGTGGTGTGGTACAAGTTTCTCACTGTGACCACCCTGCCTGGTGAAAGGTGTTTATCTGTGCATGTCTCTGAGACCCGGAGCAAGGAGATTGAAAGAGAGCAAGCTCCATTTTGTTCCCCAGGAGAAGCTGAGAGCTGGTTCGGTGTGCTGTGGTTTGTGTAGCGCAGATCCCAGCAGCACTGGCCGACGTGCTGTGCAGATCCGCTGTGCTGGGTGTAAGCTCCACAACGTGTTCTGTGGGAACGTGCTTTCATGAGGGACATAGGCAGGTGATACTGTTTAGGCTAAGAGAGTCGGTCAGAGCTGGCCACGGAGGAGCTTGCTAACCGGGTCAGGAGGGCAAATCCCGTGAGAAGATTTCTCTGGAGCGATGGCTTTGTGGGGGCAGATGGCATGACACACCTGAAATCAGGTGTCTGGTGACAATGGAGGTGACGCTGTGGGGCTGGCTTGGCCAGGAGCCAAGCTAGTGCCGCTGACCTGAAGACTCGGTGGCACAAAGGAGCCCATCTGAGGCAGACGGACATCTGGTGCAAAGAGGGCTTGTGCGATCAAGCCAGGGGCAAGCTGTCAGGAGGGGGTGTTCACCAGATGACAGCACTCAGAGCTCCGTGTAGGAGCCGCAGCCTTGGGGATTGCTTTTGTAAGTCATTTCTGGAATGCCTGAAAGCCGGGCAACTAATAAGCACAAGCGTGGGATTAGCCTTCACATGCTGAACAGATTTTTCTGTTTTTCTAATATTGCCTTTGTTATGCAAATGTATAATTATTTCATTTCCCCTAGAAGGAGTGTTTGTGGTTTCCTCTTCCCCACGACTTCCGAATGCTGCTGTGGAGGGAACAAATAACTGTGAAGTTACCAGGTACGTGCATTTTACACAGCAAGCTCTAGAAAAGCAGAAACCTAACCTTGAAGTTTTTGTTGGAGGTTTTAAGGAGCGCTTCAGAAACGTGCTGCTGGAGGGTGGTGAGGCTGGCCCCTGACAGTGCCACAGGAGTTACTCATCATTTAAATAAGCTTCAATAACATTGAAGCCTGTTATGTGCCCCCAGGTCTAAGGAATAAAAAGGCCAGATTGGTTTGCAAACCAGATGCTGGTATTTTAGGGCGGAGCTGTTCTAACAAGGAGCTGCTAGGGCCATGCCAGGAGGGAGCAGATCTGCAGACCCAGATGGAGCTGAGCTGGCCATAGCTTGAAAATGTGATGTTTATGGATAACCTCTTGTCACTGAACGCAGGTGAGAACACATGAGAAGCACCCAGTGACGGTGTCTTTCTGTGGTACTGTGGCAGACTAAGTGTAGTTGAGCAATTGGCTTGTGAAGTCCAGTTCTGCCCAACTGTAAGGTGAGTGACTTTGGTGTTACTAGAGGGGAGAAACACAAAGATGATTTATATGTAGCCAGAGTTTCAGGCGGATTTTACCTCAAATATGTGTCTGCAAGTGCATCTGTAGGCACGAAGGTGCACACGCGTGTGCCACTGGAGCTTGGTGCCTACTTGGAGAGCAGCATTATTTGACATCTTTGCTTTTTCCCTGTTTCTTAATAGAAGAGGGGAGCCAGGAATTTACACATTATGTGTAGCAGTCCACATTGGTATGTCAGCCCCACAGAGTTGGCTGCACTAGATAGGATAGAGTCTCTGCATAACCCCCACCAGTGCGTACGCAGAATTTGTGGCATGTGGTGATGATTTTTCATGTTGTCTGTCTGTGTATCTTGTAGCTTATCAAGCCCCTGCAGGTGTTTTGTGTACGGATCTGCTCTCTAGTCTAAGAGCAGATTTGTACGTTTGTACCAAAGCGATTTGTAGCTTGTGCGCAAAAGCAGACGAGTTTGTATAGATGGTGTGACGAAGCAATTTAGGAAGTTGGACAGTGTTTTGAGATTTGGAGCCTGTCAGTATATCTTACTGAAATGTTTGTTTTGTTTTTATAAACACAAGAAAGGTAGGTAAGCTTTTATTCCAAACTTGCTTTGATCATTATGCCACTGAGCTACTGTGCTTGGCAAACAAAGACAGAAGAAAGGGGGAGGGAGAAAAATAAGGAATTAACACCACATTTAGTCATCTCCATTAAAAAAGGAAAAATAGGTACAGTGTTTCTGCACCAATTTGAAGTCTAGATCTTCTTCTGCATTAGTCATTTTCACTGCTGTTGGATCAATATCTGGGTTCAACACACTCCTTAACTCATCTTGGCCTGCTCAAGGACTCATTTTGTTTTTATCAGTAGAAGATTTAGAAAGCTGACAAGGGTGCACATCAGCTGTTGCCCCCTGGACACACGTTCTGCGACAAGTTCAGCTGTTTCTTTCCCCTGAGTTTCTCTTCAGGCATAACCAGGATCAGTTCTGCTGTCAGCTCAAAAGTAAAGCGCTAAATTTAAGAACTGTCAATAACAATTTTTGCAATTCCTAGGTCAAACACTTACATGAGGAAAATTACTACAGCTTAAATCATAAAGTAATCCTAGTTTACATAGCAAGTAAATACTGTCTTCAGAGTTTTGGAAAAAACACTGCCAGTCTTCTAAGCGTGACCACTGTGAATCTTGGCTGTGCATATAACATGAAAATTGGTGAATCCCTGTGGTCTGCTGAGGATTCAACTTGGGCAATCAGACTACAGCAGCCATCTGCTTCACCTGGAGCAGGACTCAGGCCTCAAAGTTTTTTAAGAGAAACTTTTCTGCTCTGGAAGTAGTGCCAGTGTCAAAATATCTGCTGAAAACCAAACCACAAGTTCTTTCCATAGCCGTCATTTCTGTTTGTATAATGTTCAAGAAACAGCTGAAAAGATGCCCATTGAGAATTTCAGATGGAGGCATAGTCAGAATCCAGACTAACCAACAACATTTTATTTTAACCAAAATATTTCATTTTAACTAAAACCATGTTGTCACTTTGCCAGATGCCCCTTGCCTACCTCTTCGTGTTTTGATACATCCATGTCTTTGCAAAAAAACATGATAGAAAAAAAACAAACCGTGGCTGATAGGATGGCAGAGTTGCTGCTTCTAGCTCCTCAAAAATTGTTAAGCACGCAGGCCAGCCATGATGAGTCTTCATCTTTCCTGCTG